AAAATACGGGGGAGGGACCCCCCAGGTGGGAGGGGGGACCCAAAATAAGGGGGGGGGACCCCGAAATAAGGGGGAGACCCCAAATAAGGGGGAGACCCCAAATAAGGGGGGGGACCCCAAATAAGGGGGGGGGACCCCAAAATGGGGAGGGGGACCCTGAAATGGGGGGGGACCCCAAAATAAGGGGGAGGGACCCCCCAGGTGGGAGGGGGGGCCCAAAATAAGGGGAGACCCCAAATAAGGGGGGGGGACCCCAAAATAAAGGGGGGAGACCCCAAATAAGGGGAGACCCCAAATAAGGGGGGGGGACCCCAAAATAAGGGGGAGAGACCCCAAATAAGGGGGGAGACCCCAAAATGGGGAGGGGGACCCTGAAATGGGGGGGGGACCCCAAAATAAGGGGGAGGGACCCCCCAGGTGGGAGGGGGGGGTCCCAAAATCAGGGGGGGACCCCGAAATAAGGGGAGGGACCCCAAAATGGGGAGGGGACCCTGAAATGGGAGGGGGGGACCCCAAAATAAGGGGAGACCCCAAAATAAGGGGGAGGGACCCCCCCAGGTGGGAGGGGGGGGCCCAAAATAAAGGGGGGAGACCCCAAAATAAAGGGAGACCCCAAATAAGGGGGGGGACCCCAAAATACGGGGGAGGGACCCCCCAGGTGGGAGGGGGGGACCCCAAAATAAGGGGAGACCCCAAATAAGGGGGGAGACCCCAAATAAGGGGGGGGGACCCCGAAATAAGGGGGAGGGACCCCCCAGGTGGGAGGGGGGTCCCAAAATCAGGGGGGAGACCCCAAAATAAAGGGAGACCCCAAATACAAGGGGGAGACCCCAAAATAAAGGGGGGAGACCCCCCAGGTGGGAGGGGGGACCCCAAAATAAAGGGAGACCCCAAATAAGGGGGGGGGACCCCAAAATAAGGGGGAGGGACCCCCCAGGTGGGAGGGGGGACCCCAAAATAAAGGGGGGAGACCCCTAAATGGGGAGGGGGGACCCCAAATAAGGGGGGGGACCCCAAAATAAAGGGGGAGGGACCCCCCAGGTGGGAGGGGGGGTCCCAAAATCAGGGGAGGACCCCAAATAAGGGGGGGACCCCAAAATAAAGGGAGACCCCAAATACGAGGGGGGGACCCCAAAATAAGGGGGAGGGACCCCCAGGTGGGAGGGGGGACCCCAAAATGGGGAGGGGGACCCTGAAATGGGGGGGGACCCCAAAATAAAGGAAGACCCCAAATACGAGGGGGGGACCCCAAAATAAAGGGGGGAGACCCCAAATAAGGGGGGAGGACCCTGAAATGGGGAGGGGGATCCTTAAACGGGGGGGACCCCAAAATAAGGGGGGGACCCCTAAATGGGGAGGGGGGACCCCGAAATGGGAGGGGGGGACCCCAAAATAAGGGGGGACCCCCCGAGTGTGAGGGGACCCCAAATTAGGGGGGGATCCCCAAATTGGGGGGTCCTTCCTTTGGGGTCCCGTCTGGGCATTAAATCCCCCCCAAAGAGGGGGAGGGGACCCCAAAAAAGGGGGAGGGGCCCCCAAATTGGGGGGGTGGGGTCACGGGGGGGTTTTGGGGGTCTCAGGAGGGTTTTTGGGGGTCTCAGGAGGGTTTTTGGGATTTTGGGGGGT